CCCCACCACAACTACCACCACCCAATTAGTCGTTTACATATATTAAAATAGGTATAAACCCACTGTAATACACATAAGTGACAAATTATTTTGCATATGGATGTGATGTTTCCATCTATTTTGGGCCTTATTTAGTTTAAAACAAAACTAAGTTCAACAAAATCTCATGAACAAAAATTGAAAAGGAAACATAATTTTAAATATTATAGAGTTCTACTAGCAAGTAAAACATTTATATAATCATAATGATAGACTTTGTGGCGTATGGCACTAGACTTATAGTTCTAATATTGCCAACAAATTTATGCAACTAATGGTGTTAGAAAATAGAAAAAGATTAATATTTGTATAAAATGTATTTAAAACAAAGTATGTAATATTTTATGATATGTAACTAAGTAAAAATGTTTAATATAAATAGATGGTAATTAATTATTTTTGTATAACCAAATTGACAAAAAAACTATGCATAGCTTGTACTATTCTCACAAACTGAGAGAGACATGTTAGTACGACAAAACACAACAAATTTACCCATCCAATCTCCCAAATAGATATCTATAACAGTCGGTTAACATTGCTAAGAGAATCCTCCACGATTGTTCCATATATGCATTGCTCATTAACAAACTCTTCCACATATGCATGCCTCCTCAACAAACTTTTCCACGGGCTGCAGAGAAAAAAAATAAGTTATTGTTTCTTAAATAACATATACTTCTTTTTTCCCGACTTTTTCTCTAAACACTCACATGTTGATAATACATCTGAAAGAGATTTACAGATGTAGTGCGGCTTCCTTTAGCTCAGCATCACTAGAAAGGCAGACATGTTGGCAATACATTTGGTAGAGTGAGGTGAAGGAAATATGCCCTAGAGGCAATAATAAAGTTATTATTTATTTCCTTATCTCATGACAAATGTTTATTATTCATACTAGAATTGTATTAACCGGAAACATAATACATGTGTGAATACATAGACAAACATAGTGTCACTAGTATGCCTCTACTTGACTAGCTCGTTTATCAAAGATGGTTATGTTTCCTAGCCATGGACAAAAGAGTTGTCATTTGATTAACGGGATCACATCATTAGGAGAATGATGTGATTGACTTTACCCATTCTGTTAGCTTAGCACTTGATCGTTTAGTATGTTGCTATTGCTTTCTTCATGACTTATACATGTTTCTATGACTATGAGATTATGCAACTTCCGTTTACCGGAGGAACACTTTGTGTGCTACCAAACGTCACAACGTAACTGGGTGATTATAAAGGTGCTCTACAGGTGTCTCCGAAGGTACTTGTTGGGTTGGCGTATTTCGAGATTAGGATTTGTCACTCCGATTGTCGGAGAGGTATCTCTGGGCCCTCTCGGTAATGCACATCACTTAAAGCCTTGCAAGCATTGCAACTAATGAGTTAGTTGTGAGATGATGTATTACGGAACGAGTAAAGAGACTTGCCGGTAACGAGATTGAACTAGGTATTGAGATACCGACGATTGAATCTCGGGCAAGTAACATACCGATGACAAAGGGAACAACGTATGTTGTTATGCGGTCTGACCGATAAAGATCTTCGTAGAATATGTAGGAGCCAATATGAGCATCCAGGTTCCGCTATTGGTTATTGACCGGAAACAGTTCTAGGTCATGTCTACATAGTTCTCGAACCCGTAGGGTCCACACGCTTAAAGTTATGATGCTAGTTTCATTATGAGTTTATATATTTTGATGTACCGAAAGTTGTTCGGAGTCCCGGATGTGATCACGGACATGACGAGGAGTCTCAAAATAGTCGAGACATAAAGATTGATATATTGGACGACTATATTCGGACACCGAAAGTGTTCCGGGTGATTTCGGAGAAAACTGAAGTGCCGGAAGGGTTACCGGAACCCCCGGGGAAGTATTGGGCCTTAGTGGGCCTGAGGGGAGAGACAGGGCAGCAGCCCAGGAGGTGGCGCGCCCCCTCCCATGGGGAGTCCGAATTGGACTAAGGGAGGGGGGCGCGGCCCCTCTTTCCCTCTGTCTCTCCCCCTCTTTCCTTTCCCCTTCCCCCTTCCTAGTCAGACTAGGAAAGGGGAGTCCTACTCCTACTAGGAGGAGGACTCCCCCCTCCTTGGCACGCCCCAAGGGTCGGCCGGCCTCCCCCCTTGCTCCTTTATATACGGGGGCAGGGGGGCACCCCAGGACACACAAGTTGATCTTCGTGATCGTTCCTTAGCCGTGTGCGGTGCCCCTCTCCACCATATTCCACCTCGGTCATATCGTTGCGGTGCTTAGGCGAAGCCCTGCGTCGGTAGAACATCATCATTGTCACCACGCCGTCGTGCTGACGGAACTCATCCTCGACACCCTGCTGGATCGGAGTCCGGGGATCGTCATCGAGCTGAACGTGTGCTGAACTCGGAGGTGTCGTACATTCGGTGCTTGGATCGGTCGGATCGTGAAGACGTACGACTACATCAACCGTGTTGTCATAACGCTTCCGCTTTCGGTCTACGAGGGTACGTGGACACACTCTCCCCTCTCGTTGTTATACATCACTATGATCTTGCGTGTGCGTAGAATTTTTTTTGAAATTACTACGTTCCCCAACATGAGGCACCTCGCATGATCTAAAATCTTGCATGGCGTCTGGCTTCGGACTCCCTGTATATGTGGAAGAAGCATAAGATTAGTCTAGAGATAAAGTAGATGCCCAGTATAGAGAATTTACATCCATTTTTGCGCAGCATTTTGTTTAAGATCTTTACTTATCGATGGCCAAAGTATGGAAGTTGCCAAGTATTGAGTTGGTGATTAATAATGGAAAATGGTGGCTATTGCGAGCCCTAGCTCCACTTAGCGATATATAACAGTCCATGTTGCTCATAACCTTTTGGAGGAGTTGGCATGTTCGAAATGGATTAGTACACCATAAACCTGCCCCGCCCATGGATGTTTCTGTCAGATTTTTGCATAATTACTTGAATTCCTTGATTGGCATCAATATGAACGCTCATGTTGGTCTGGTAAAAGGGAAAGATGTCATATCGCATGATCGTGTGCCCGCGAGTGCACTAGCTCCGGCCCTAGGATGGAATACATCGATTGAGGGATGGGTCAAACTGAATACCGACGACTCTTATATTTCGAGTGAAGATGCGGGTGGCGGCATGATACTTCGTAACAATGTCGGTATCATAATTTTTTTGGGCGTGTGGAGATTTGTTTTCTTGTAGAGATGCATCGGAAGCGGAGTTATGTACA